TGTGTGTGTGTGTGTGTGTGTATGCGTGTGTGTTTGTCTGTCCGGATACTTCAATTCGGCTACCAAGCAGGTTCCAGCGCCAAGATTTTGCTAGTAGGTTCCCTGGCCAAGTGCCACTCTAGAACCCCGGTTCCAACCCCTACGCAAGTCTGGGCACCGGAGGGGTGAGGGGGGAGGTTGAAAGTTTTGGCGAGAAAATTGATAACTCGGGAACTAGCAGAGCTGGGATGCTGAAATTTCCAGTGAATATTCCCAGCCCATTTGAGACTTAAAGTTATCAAATTCAGTCCCCAGGTGCGCGGTTCTCACGTATAGCCCCGTGAAATTTTTCGGCGGGAAAATGGCTAACTCGGGAAGAAGCAAAGCTAGGAAGCTGAAATTTCCAGAAAATGTTCCCAGCCTATGTACTACTTAAAGTTATCAAATTCAGCCCCTAGGCATGAGCGGTTCTCACGTCCAGCCCCGTGAAAGTTTTTGGAGGGGAAATGGCTAAGTCGGGAACTAGCAAAGATCGGAGACTGAAATTTTCAAAGAATGCTCCTCGCATAAATACAACATAAACGTATCAAATTCAGCCCCCAGTCGTACGCAGGTGGGGGAGGGGGGAAGAAACAGACAAAAGTAACAACCGCTAAAACGATGCAAGCTAAATGAAAGTGATGAAACAGACAAAAGTAACAGAAGCTAAAACAATGCAAGCCAAATGAAAATGATAAAACAGATAAAAGTAACAACCCCTAAAACGATGCAAGCCAAATGAAAGTGATGAAACAGACAAAAGTAGAACGCCCCCTGGCAACTATGCAAATTTCTGCATAACAGTGGGCACTCTATACGTGGAGTGCACTAAGTGTGACGTGGCATAATCTAATACATGCAAATTTCCACGAAAGACGCGGATTTTCATACGTGGGAATCCCTACGCTGACGTGGCTTAATCGACTTTTACGTGGAACGTAATTTTTCACACGTGGAAAGCCGCAAGAGTGAGGAGGTTTAATTCACAACATGTGTGCCCGTTTGCAAAGTGGCTACTCAAACGCATTGGTACTTCTTAAAGATGACGTGACCTTTCTCGCACGTAGTCAAATTGCAATAATTGGCCAACGCACGGGCTATCCGTGCGAAGATGCGTTTTTTGCATAGTCCCCCGCAGTTTTTGTTGCTACCGGCACCGGTTTTTTTCGGCAAATGCTTCTAGCTAAACAAATTAAGACTGGCCGCCAGAACTGTCAGAAAACACCCCCCTGAAATTTTAGCTTTCCAGCTTCCCTGGTTCCTGAGTTAGCAACTTACC